TATCATCGGCTGTCGAATCAGAAGCATCACAATGGCGAATCAGGATGATTGAAGTCGTGACTCGTGTCAGCAAGTCTTTATTCCATGGTATGAAACAATTCCTTTCTCACTGCAATTTCTTGAGATGTGGGAATTAAAGCAAATCTCTGAAAATACATCAGTAATTGATTTGTCTAACCTGATGAGCAGCATATGGTCTGATGTTATAGTCCTCTCTTAAAATACTAAGAGCAAATATCCTCTCCGGTCTTATGTAGTTTTCATTAGGGCGCCGAGAGATATCTAGTACCTTCCATTTCTAGAAATTACTGGAAGGTATATACGGTTAAAGTTATACCTAAGAGCCGGACGCAGTTACAGTTACATATAGGGATAAATTACAGTTATTCAATAACAATATCAAATGGTTGTACAGAGACCGGACCGAAATATCGCCACATTTGGCGATTTCTCGCCAAATTTGGCTAAAAAATTACTCGCCAAAACCTTTGCTAGCTTGGCGATATCTCGTCAATTTTAAATAGACTTGCCCTTGTGTTCTCATTTTTCCGGAAAAGCTTCGACTCCTTCAAGCATTTCGCGCTACATTATATAGAAAAGGACTATAATTTCACTAAAATTATTTATTTATATGCAAAATTAATAACAATACGTACTTGAATACATTGAAATACATTAAAAAAAAAGAAATTTCTTAATGATTTGTTATAATAATGATACGACAATAAATGATTATTATTGTTATTCAATTAATTAAAATAATTATATTATAATAAATAGTCATACTTCTATTTGATTTTGGGGATAAAATGTATATGCATGACTAAGTCTATTTAATATACATAGTTGATATGGAGGGAACAAAATGTATTTTAGAATAAAAGAATTCGCGCATAAAAGATCATAATATTTGCAAATATCACTTTAAATCAACTGCGATCAAGGAAGACATCCCTGAAATGGGGAGACCTGCTAACACTTTTTATAACTACGGAAAGAATATTCCTGCTAAAAATATGGTTCCAGTACTTTTAGGAATCTTATTCGTAAAATTCATATATTATGAATCATTTTTGGTTTCAGCATTGCTTATCAATGCGAATCTTCGAGTTTATTTTTACGAATGTGAAACAAAGGCGAATGATCAGGACTACAGGATCATACAGGTACTACTTTCCATAATAAATTAACCCTTTTCAGAGAAGAACGAACTCTCATGTTACCTTCTCACCCTGCGGCACGTAATTAACATCCCTTCTGAACGATCCTAAGGGCTTTAGCAGAATGCCAGCCAATGTTGCGTTTGACACAGTCGATCCATAATTGGAATGCGGCAGACACACAAAGATAAAGAATTCAAGTGTGTGGTTTAGAATTCAAGGGTGCGCGGTTACCTCACAAAGATAAGGAATTCAAGTCGCAGTCTTCGAGCTGTGAGACGATATGCTCTGGCACGGCAAAAACAATCATTCATTTAGTAACGCCTCCGCTTAACATCACAAGAGTCACAAATTTACGACAAGTGTCAAGAGATTTTAGGGACATGAACTTTGTCTGCCATCGAAACCTCTCGATTTTAGGGAAACTGACAGACCAATGATGCTGTTGCTCCTCTAAATTCCTTTCTATCATAACGAATCAAAGACATAAAATACAACCGAAAAATTAAGAGGATTTGAGCGAGGATGGCCGTGTCATCAGCATAAAGTGTGAGGGTGACACCGGATGGTTTGTGTACGTCATTAATAAAGATATTGAACAGATACGGTCCTAATAATGAACTTTGAGGCACACTACTAAAGCTTGAATGGGATTTGAAATGGCAATGGTAACTCGTGCACATTAAAGTTCTTTTTTGGGGGTGAATTCTGGCATAATACATCTAGATAGCAGTTCATCCTAATTAAGCAGTCTCTTTCGTCAGCGCCAGATACCTTTTTAGATGCTTCGGTCATATGTTTGGCATATCGTTCTACATCCTGGGTGTGATGACAAGAAAAGCTTTGGAAATCCGGTTGCAGCGATGTTCCAGACTTTAATAGATTTTATGTCCTCATCCATAGTGCTTCTTAATAGTGGAGGTGGAGAAATATGGCAGTTATCCTCCAATCATGTTCAGAGTCTGTTGCTTCGAAGTTTAGTTGGTGAAGTTTCGAATAGTTTGTCCTTTGGAAAGTGAACGAGCTATTTCGAATAGCTTTTCCCTTGGAAAGCGATCAGCAATCGGTGCGACCCAACATTCTCCGATATGTCTCCTTTTATCCATAATCATTGTAAGGACAAAATTTTTGGAATGAACAAATAAATAATAAATTATTGGGATAAAGAAGAATGAATACCGTTGAACTATTAGATTGATGACCTGCAGTCGTTTTCGAGTTAGACATCGCGATGTTCTGATGGTTTCAAAATGTGAAATTTTTACTAGCTTTAATTTAAGCATGTAACAATTCAAAATAAAATGTATGAACTGCCTCATTTCATCGACATGTTTTTGTTAACTCAATGAAGTTTGAGGATTCGATTTTCTGTTCTCTTGAATGTGAAATTTGCCGAGTATCATGAGCTGCTAAATCTTCTAAAATTGTATCTGATTTCATAGCAGCAGGGATTTCAAGTAGGTAAAATTGATCCTTGTTCAACACTTAACTTTCTTGTCAAGTTGAGAAGCAAAGAATTTAACAAGTTCGAAGTGAACCTTTAAAATATTTTAACAACCAAGGACTTTTTTCCGATCGGTCCACTGAAGGATTTGGGCCCAATGGTAATACTATTCGAGTAAAAAAGTAGGTGGCGGAATTGCAGTTCATTCAAGGAGACATATAACTCACTTCAATGGTCTCCCAACGTGCAATTAGATAAGGTGGATAATACCACTTTTCAAATCAGTATTGATTACAGTTCCATCTTTCCCTATCAAGCTCTTCATGACAAATCTAGTGGGCAGTCAATGGGAAAGCGGTTTCATTTTCCGCAAGTCGCGTAGAGGAAGAAACATGGCCGATATATCCTGATTCTACTTCTTGTATGAGGGAATAATGATCAGCTTTTTCAGTTCTTTAAAGACGCTTGAATTTATTTTTATAATTATCTTCGTATCTTCCATCAAATAATAGACTAATGTTTCCTTAATAGACTGTTTCTGCAAATTATTTCCGTTGTTACTAGCTTTTTCCATTTCTTATCTTGTTTTTGTCAATCACGTGAAAATTGTCTAAATCAGTTCGTAGCAAAAATAACGAAATATTGCTATTTTTGCAAAATACTGCGTTTTTTTATCTTTTTGCACAAATCTTTTTGAACATATAGTGTTTAGAAACAGTGAATTTAGTAACTATAAAAAATTAACAAAAAACATCAAAATTTCCCCGTCCTTCAAACTGAGTGCTAAGCGCAAACGGAGAATACAGTTTTATTTCCTTTTCATTTCGGTTAGCTAGACGATAGACAACTTCGATGTAAAGCGATAGAAAAAAAAAAATTTTTTTTTTCAGCCCACCCTAACGTTCAGTTCATTTTGAACTGAAATGCACACTCGCACATTGGAAGAGTGGGACAGATTTGCTGGCCATGTATGAGGGGAAACCTCTTCTCTCACCTGTCACATAATCTACTGATGAGTCTATTATTCTTCAACTTCTTACCCAGAATGATAGAACCTCTGCCATAAAAGCAATTTTCTTCTCTGCAAGAAATTTCTTCAGAAGTTACCCCAATCTTTCCGGGACTAAAAATAAGAAGTACTCTACAAGAAAGAATAAATTCTCCTAGAAATTGGATCACCGTTGTTTAAAATCAGATTGACTACTCAAAATGAATGTAAGGAGAAAATGCCTAAAATCAAATAAACCTGAGAAAGAAAAATTAGCATGCATTTCATATCTGTCTTTTCCGCTGTCCCGATAATTATTACCTGGATTAAAAGGAACATGGTTGTGATTATAATTCAAAGAAATGGAATTATTTGCCTTAAAGTTTCTGATTCTGATTATTTCATTTCTTACATGTTTGCATTTAGCGTATGACCGGGGGGTTGAAATCCATTAAATAATTGTACATTTTATGAAATTTAAAAAAGTAGATCACTGGTTAATAAGGAAAAGGAGTCGTTGTACGACTTCTATTTCAAAACGAAAATATATTTCAGAAGAAAAACAAACGAAAGTAAGAAAAAATATTTTTATTGAAAACGAATCGCAAGCAAAGGGTGGCCCATAAAGCCGTACGTGGTTCGCGTGCTTCTGGTTGACCATGTCTGGTCTATAGAAACAACCCGCATACAATAAAAGACCTTACGACTACAGTTAACAAATATACAAGTGGCCTCAAATATGGTGAAAGGAGAACATGCATTTTTTATTAAATATGCTTTACATAATTGCTTCTTTCTCGCTTTTACATTTTTTGAATTGTTTCTTTGTAGCCCTCTTTTGCAAACATTGGTTATATTATTCCGTTTGAGATGTATAAAGTATGCAATTGCAGACTATCGAAGCACAAATTTGATGGTGTCGTGATTCAGGAAACAAGTTTAAACACCAAAGAGCTGACGAGAATTATTTTTAATCCTTCGTTCGTGAATGTCATCGAACATACGACGTTTACCGGTGTTTTTACTTCATTAACAGCAGGACATTTATATAATTTACTCTTTACGTAATTTTAATGGAACATATTTTCTGTCTCGAAGTCCTTTATGAAGCCCTTTCATTCTTTATAATCCTACAATGTTTTGCCATCATTATGATTTGACTGACTGATAAATTACAAGCTAGAATTAAGTTTTGTTGTCATCAATATATGTTACCAGTATTGACTCTTCTGTTTAATATAAGCCATCTATAGAACGTGAGTTTCCAACTTCACTTTCTGTCAATCGGCAGGATTTCACTCTGCTTCTGTAGCTCTTGGCTATCCCTTCTTGAATTCTACTGAACTTCGCAGGTTGTATATTAGCACAGATTGGGCTTTGCTTAATCATGTATTTCTTACACATTTGCATTCTTTTTTTTTTTTTTTTTTTTTTTCTGTTACTAAAACATTGCTGTCTCTGTTTATAGGACAATCGTTTAGCAAATAAATGACTGACTTATCTGGTCACTTTCTTTTTTCGAATTAGAGTTATTGTTTGCATCACTGATCACAAAGCTGTATTTTTCTCCAGTCATCTAGTTTCCTACCACCGCATTACAAAAATCACCAACATATGACGAAAGGCCGGGGATGAATGAATTATCACTACTTACAAATGAAAACGTTTCCGTGGCAAAACTGAAATCTCTTGCATCAGAATTATCACACAAGTCACTATTTGTTGAAGATGAAGTAGATGTAACTGTACGTTCAGTAGCACCTGATCGCTTCATCAAATCAGACCACTCGAAAGCGGGGCTTGAAGTAGTTCTTTCAGATGCCACAGTATTTAAAAAAGAATTAGGAATATTTTTATACAAACATGATGATTTATCAACATGATCAGTTCTATTTGTATCTGAATAGGTATTTAACGAATTTAAGATTCCAGGTACGATTAAAGAAATGTTTTCGGAATCACTGTTTGTTAATGCATTACTATTACTATTTCCTGTAGAAGCTTCTATCATCCATTTAGGTTCACAATTTAAGGATGAAGATTCTTTATGAAAGGAAGGAACAGGTGCATTAACAATTATTTCTGAATTATGCGAGGAGCATGAATTTTGAGGAGTTGTGCATGGCATGGAATTTCCAAATTCGGTATTCAACATTTCACTAATATTAAGTCTAGTACTCTGGTGCTTTATGGAAGTGTGAGGAACATCTAATCGCCTCATTCCATTTATACATCGGTTAGAGCTTATTGTGGAATATTTTTGATGATTTCCTTGCAAACTATTAGAACAAGTAATTTGATTATTTTCAACCATTTGGCAGCTTTTAATAGAAGAATCAATGGAAAGTTTACTTGCATTATTAACACTAAACTGCGATGACAAGCTATTTTCAAACTCCATATAATGAGAAGAGGTAATAGATGAATATGTATACCTTGGTTGGTTGCACTCTATAGTGCTGCAAGAATTAGTATCTGCAAATGGGGTATTCAGAACTATAGGTGGAACCATCAATGAATTTCCCTTGGTACTTCCATCTTTGGTCGGAATTACAATGGTTGAATGAAGTTGATTGGAATTTGTGTTACAAATTTTTTTGATGACTGGCAAGGAATTATCAGGAGCAGTGTTATTCATCATCTGAAGATGGCTGTTGATAAACATTCCATCTGTCGTATGAGAAACTTGAAACCTAGATGATTCATTATTTAAACCCAAGTTTAAAAAATTCGTGTCATAAGTAGACATGTGCGTATTTCTCATTTGACTAAATTCACGATTATCTGTAGAAAGTTTGAGAAATAATTCTAAGCTGATCCTGCTATCATATGATTCAGCAAAATTACAGAAACTATGTTTCTGATGGGACAGTTTTCTTTCTTGATAGCAGGGCTGTTCGCTGTTTATAATAGCATTCATGTTATTTGCGTCGAATGATACATTGGAATTGCAATCAAATATATTGCTCGATATAGAAGGTGATATGGTTTCGAGAGGCACATCTGTGCTTCCCATATCTTCCGAATATTCCTTTAGCGATGTAAAATCTTTCCCATTAACCTCAGATCGCATGTCTCTTGCCACATTTCGATTATCGTTTGTTTCCCATACATCCCCTGAATAGCTTGATTCTAGCCTGCAGACTTTCCGTTTCTGGTGCTGAACTACATTCGACGAATTCTTCTGGTTGATTCGAGGTCTTTTTATGCCATTTTCCACACAGCTACTTTTAAAGGAATTAATTTCGTACTTGTGTTCTTCAACCTGTATTCTGTCCATCACCACGTCTGCATTTTCTTTTCCGCTAAAAGAAGAAATGAGTTCAGTATTCAGAAACAGACAATATTTGAAATATGTAACTGAATAATAAAAACTGTTCTTATATCTAAGAGTGCTTTGCTCCTATATTTTCGCTTTGTTTCAAGGAATTCAGCAAATAAGTCTTATAAAAATTAACAAGATTTATTCAATCTCTACTATCACCTAGAGTTCTTATTTTATTATATTAAGGATCATATAAAATATGTTTAAATATTATTAGATAACAATGTAAATTCATTGCAATAGTATGTAGCTTATCAAAATTGAATAACTGATAAAAGATAAACTATATTAACTTTATAAAACTAATGCATTTTTTGGCGAGAAATTGCTGCCAAATAAATATGAAGTATATATTAACCATCTGTTGCATGACATTAAAACATTATTAGTCCAAAGGGGCTTTGTCCCTGAAGGACTATTGTTTTCGTTTTGCGATTTTGCGTCGGACTCATAAACGTCGGTTCACTTTTCAAACTGTTGCCACAAAATGTTAGAGTCCTGCATTATATTTGAAGAAATTAAATAATGAAAAATCTGCATAAATGATTGTCTATTTCTCGCATTGTGATAAAACAATGGTACATAGAGCCATCGAATTTTGAATGACGAAATCCTACTGCGAATATGGGCATCTGAAATCCCAAATTTGGAATTTGTTTTATATAGATTTTATATTTGTAAAACTTTAACGAATTTTTGATTTACAAACTCAATGCTTTAAAAGTGAGAAATGGCAACGTTTATATAGAAAAAAAAAAAAAACTTTTATCTCCAGCTCGCGAGACTGTTGTATATCGGAAATTCTAAAGATATGCTTAATTTAACATTATTTTGCGATATTGCTCTTGAACTGAATTTTATGGTTTAAGTGCAAAGAACATGATATTTAATAAATAAAGGTAACACTCAAAACGTTAAAAAAACGCCCCTTTGGACGTAATTTAAAATCTGAAACATTTCAGATTTTTTTTTTATAAAATGCATAAGCGATTATGCATTTTATAAAAAATATGAATGTTATATTTTAGTCTTCTCGCTTTGTCTGTATCATACATACATCTTTGTAATAGTGGTTGTAATTAAAATATGAATGCTTCTAATAATGTCTTATTCTAGTATCTCCTGATGATTTTCCAGAAAATGAATGTGGCATGACATTCATGGTTTCTAAAATACGGAATCCAACAAGTATGTACTAATTTTATTATAAGAGTTTCTATAAAAAGTTAAATAATATAGGTATTGATCATAATTTTCCCTAAGAAAAGTATAATATTGAATAAAATTCTGCAGTGCCAAAGAAACTGATCAGTTATAATTGGGCAGCAAAATATGAAATGGGAAATAATAATAATTATCTTCTTTTTGAACGCATTTGTCTGTTTCCACGCGTATGTAGGCATGAGGACATAAATACATCCAATGTCTGCATATATCAATGAATTTTAAATTCATGTATCCATGCATTTTAAATCCATGATGTGTGCATATGTCAGGACTTAAAAATCTATGACATGAACAGACATCAACAATTTTTAAGTCATTTCGTAATCCTGGTTGCATTTTAAGGAGATGAGAGCTGCAAGTATTGACTTAATAATTAAAAGCTAAATGGTCAAGCTGAAAAGAAGGCTTTAAATATTTCCGTCGAGTCACGGTGTGTTAAAAAATGACGTTTTCATCTTTAAGACATTAAGTTTCAGTCCTCAAACATGTCCGGTAAAGATTTTAAAAAAATGTTTAAGAGGAAATTCATTTTTTTAGAAGTACAGATACAAATCTTGGACTGTCTTTTAAAAGGAGAAAAGGCATCTCATATTGGAAAACGTTTTCATTGGAATGAAGAAACAGTCCGAACTATTAAGAAAAATGAAAAAGAAATAAGAAGTGCAGTTTTTGCAGGATCTTCGACAACCGCATTTGGATTGATGATACCTGTCAAAAAAGAATTTTGTTGGATGGTAATATCATTAAACAAAAAGCATTCAGAATTTTCAAACACCTCAAAGAAGATCGTAAAGATTGGTTTGAAAATTTCAAAAAGCGTTTTGCAATTCATAGCATAATAATTCAAGGAGAATCTGCATCGGCTAATTATGAAGCTGCTAGGACGTTTCCTGAAAAATTTTAAAATATTATAGAAGATCAAGGATACACAGCAGTTCAAGTTTTCGATGCCGACAAAAGTGGACTTTGATGGAATAAAAATACCCAGTAGAACCTTTATATCGAAAAAAGAAAAAAACTGCATCCTGATTTAAGGTGTCTAAAAATTGTCTAACGCTACTTTCGTGCAGTATAACTTTTGACTTTATAACAAAACCCTTGTTAGTTTATAGATTTTTAAATTCTCGTGTACTTAAAGGCGTAAATAAAAACACCGTAGCAGTATATTAGAAAGCAAATCCAAGAGCTCGGGTGGCCGGGAATATATTTAAAGATTGGTTTTTTAATTGTTTTGTGCCAGACGCTGAACGTTATTTAAATCCGAAAAATTTGAGTTTCAAGGCGTTTATTACTATTAGATAATGCCCCATGCCACCCACAAGATTTGAATCATCCCAGTGTCAAAATACTGTTTCTGCCACCTAACACTACTTCGTTACTCCAACCATTGGATCAAGGTATTATTTATATCTTTAAAACATATTGCATAAGAAGAGCATTTCAGTAGATTTTAGACGTAACCGATTCAAAATTAATTAATGTAATGGAAGACATTTCCAATCAAGAACTGAATCGGCATCGTATCTCTGTCGCTGAAAGAACTGAAAGCATCAACGTTAAATGCATGTTAGAAGAATATATGGCCCTGAAAAAGAAAACGTGTGCGTCAGCTGAAAAAGAAAACGTGCGCGAATCGTCAGAAAAGAAAATTGGTGGTATACTAGAACTTGCTAAATCAATCGGAGGCAAAGGTTTAGTGAACATGGCTATTGAGACCGTTCAAGATTAATTAGCGGAAGAAGAAATTGACGAAGATTGGATAGAAATGGCATCCGAAGCTGTAAATCAAATCGATTCTGAGGGCACTACCATTGGCGAAGATTGTGAAGTTAATAATTTAACATAAAAAAATTAAAAGAAGGCTTACTGAGAACAGACCCTTCCGCTGAAATAAGCCGAAAATTCAAAAGGGAGCTGCAAAACTGTCTAGCTTTATATCGAGAAATTTAAAATGACCCGGTAAGAACTAGTAAGCAAAGTAAAATAACAGATTTTTTAAAGAGGGAAGAAAATACCAGAACTTTAAACGAAAAAAGAAATTCTGAAAATGAATGATCTCATTCCACCGAAAAAACGTTCTCTGTTGATTATACTGAGCAATGACAAAGAAGAAATTTATTAAACTAAAGTTGCGTTAAATTAAAATATGCAATATTTTTTGTTTTGTGTTGTACATACATATATATTTTTTAATAAAAATTAAGTTGTTTATGTATAATTAACAAAAAATATTTTTTAATAAGTTTTCGGAACGTAACCCCCCTTTTTATACTGGCTGTGGGTCTCATACAACACGGCAGTTTCTAGGAACTTATCTACCGTTATACGAGGTTTACCTGTACATCGTAGACCGTTCCCAAGTGTTGACCATGGGGAAGCCAAAGCCCCAAGAACAACCTTCGAAATTAAACCGTATAACGTCCCCCACAGATAAAATAGTATCAGCACGGTCCCTGCCGAGCCTGAACCTAGCATCGAAATGATCGAAAGATTTTTAATGTCTTAAAAATAAAAACAAAATTTTCAGTTTTAATATTTTGTATTAATAATTCATTTTAATTTCCTTGCTCAGTTTTAATATATTCACAAATTCAGATTTAAAAACAAAATAAGTTGTATAAATATTTTCAACATTTCTGATTTTTCCATAGTAACCATAGGAGAACGATTTGAGACTATCTGTGTAAAATAAGTAGGTTTTAGATCATCACACCTTCACATACTTTCACTGGAGGTTTTCCTCTGTATATATACTGGGATGTGACACTAAGCAGTTGAGAGTATGTATTTAAGAGGTTAAAGGGATATTGTAACTAATATTTCAAATCCTGATAACATCCCATGCGCCGTCGGTGGGACCTAGATAAGATGTCCTTAGGATATACTGGGATGTGACATTAAGCACTCAGGAGGATGAGTTTAGGAGGAAATTGGGATATTACGGGATGTCCTGAGGATGTAGTAAGTAGGACTTTAAATCCTAATAACATCTCATACGTTGTCAATGGGACATATAGATAGGATGTTTTTAGGATATAATGGGATGTGTTTAGGAGGTTTATGGGATGTCCTGAGAGTAAGTAGGAGTTCATATCCTAATAACATCCCGCACGCTGTCGATGGGACTTAGTTAGGATGTGACATTAAGCACTCGGGAGGAGGTTTGAGGGATGTCCTGAGGATGTGCGCCTATCCAACGAGCAACATCCTTGTTCGGTTCGGTCGCTCTCGCTGCTATTGAACTCAACCTACTCTCGATACAATTCAAGGCACACTCATACACTGACGATACACTACTGATATACTGCTACTGCACATGCAGGCAAGGTTTATATAGCTTATTACCTGCCTTTGAGAACATTCTAGGATAAAACGGTAAGAATTCGTCCTAGAATGTTATCGTTCTGTCTACGGCGTATTGTCAATTTTGTCGCCAAGTGGGCGATTTTCGCTAAATCTGGCACCCCTGCCTTATCTTGCCGTTTTGCAGGGAGGCTATCTTACCGCAGCTGGGCATTTCGCAACATCATTTTACTCTTAATTCAGCATTTTACAGCAAGCTACGGAGATTAAATGTTCTTATATTAAATAAGTTGTAATGTACGGAACCTAACTATTAATGCTAAATTTTGGCTCCGTGTAGACAGCCACCGATTTATTGCCCTGTCTTAATCTTAATGCAAAAATAACTCGGAAAGCAGAAGAATGTTTAAAATAAACCATTTTATCACAACTTTCCCGGCTCGTATAATTAACACAACAAATTACTGTTCTTGCGAGATTTAGCAGAATGCAAAATAAAACTAGAGGAATTAAAGTATAAATTCACAAGGTAAAGTCCTAATATTTGGCTCAGCCCCTCGAATCACATGAGCAAAATATAGGTAATGAAGGTTAAAATCGATTCAGGTAAGGCTAGAAGCTGGAAGAAATAGTTCAAAGCAGATTAGCGGTCATTGCCAAAAGCTGTTCCTTAGCCAATTTGCATCGTGGTGGGAGACGATGAAAGTAGAAGTGACAGTAAAGATAAAAATAATGATAAGATAGTGGAATAATTGTATAATCCACATTGGATAGTGGATTAATTGACAGTATAGATAAAAATAATAATAAGATAGTGGATTAATAAACATAAAACTGTAATAAATTATTAATAAACATATAACCGTCAGGCTGATGCTTAAATATAAAAGTTCATTTTATACTTTCCTTTGCTTTGACGTAATTTTTCTACTGAGAACTTAAGACGAGACGCTAAGTCGTCGACTGCCATTACGATTCCAGAAGTTAAAGTTTAAGAAAGTGAGGAACTGTACAGCTGGCCTATTTGCAGGGATTCAAAGGAAATCGATAAAGAAATGGTTAGCAGTCTTCTCCTTCTAACTTTATCCATATTTGAATGATATAACCAGAGCTGGATTACACATTAAGCAAGCACGTGCTTAGGGCATCAAGGAAAGGGGCATCACAAAAATTTGCCATTGCCGGTTTTACCATGGAATACATGATGCAGTTCAACAAGATCCGGAGTGACGAAATGGTTAAAAGTCTCGTATAAATATATGTGGGCGCAACAAAATCTTTTAAAGGTTTAAGGCATTTAAATGTTTTAATCTGGTCTTCAATGTAACATTCAGCACTCAAAGTTTGGAAAACTATTAGATATATTTCTTACCTTAGCACATAATTGAGTGCAACAAGACTGTGTGATCTGTAAGTTCGACTGCTGTGCACAACTGTACAATGACTCTGAATCCAAATCCAGCCCCCACCTTTAGTCAAGAGACGGTAGTATTTGCTCACAACTTGTCCCTTCTTAATCACTAGAAAGAAAAGGAGAAAATGAAAGCGCTCAGCTTCTTTCTGAAGTTGTAGCTAGCGTAAAAGTAAAAAAATTCAAATATGACTAATAAGGATATTTCTATTTTTAAATGAAATGAAATTCACTAGAGTTCGTAAATTCAGAACTAAAATTTTCGCATACTTATCTGATAAATGTTAAGAATGAAACAAATTTAAACCTGCTTCATGGTACTTCCTTTCAAAACCAAATGACATGTTCAGTGTTTTGTTGATTATCTTAGTTTCACGTATAGTCAATAATAGCATTTCAGACATTTGCAAATGTTAACAATTTTCTTCGTGAAGTCATTATAAATATTAATTTAAACTGTTTTGGGTATAAAATCAGTAATTACCCTTTGAATTAAATTGCGCTTAAAATGCTATCAATGGATTCAGGCAAGATAAAGATAAATACATCTACTTGCATGTCTTTGCCTTTAATGCTACAGCTTGGAATCTTTTGTGGATCTATTACCCACATATGATAAAAATTAGATTCTCACTACTAATTTTAATAATTTTCTTAATCGCCGAGGAATTCCACTACAATACAAAATGAACTTCCGCAGTGGCACAATAAGGACAACAACAAAAATCTGATGTCTAAATTGCTAAATAAATCAACACCAATCAAATAATTTGGCCAATCAAATTAAATCAAATTATTAGTTGGCCAATAAATTATTAGTTGGCCAAACATGCCAACAGTTTATTAATATACCGCTTGACTAATATTGGCCGATTGTATTGTTTTACTAACCGAATATTAAAAGAAGTGTATTTCAAATCCAAATTCAAGAACTAACTAGAGATTGATTATGGAATATTAAACAGTGTAACGTAGCAAAGTGTGGAATAATAATAATAATAGACAGTAACTAACTATAATAGTAGTACAATTGCTCCATTCATTTACACATTTTGATCAAGTAATAAGTTTTTCTTTTCAAAAGTGTATATACCTCGTGATTTGCCCTTCTGAGTTTTCGAACTGAGAAGGGAGACTCAAGCGGTATATACAGTTTTTAAAAGGTATTCTCTTATCAATTTTTCGGGTTGTGAAGCTCGTAAATAAGAGTGGGAGGGACATGCAAATGACAGTAGCTGTAAAATGCTTAAACAACTGAACATATTCTAAAAGATATAAAAAAAAATTATTAAATTTTTATTAGGTAAACGGGCCGAAAAACATCCTTTTTCATGCTTATAGCATTCCTGCAAATTTGTGGAAATATTGAAAGAATCTTTAATTTACTCACGTAATTCGTGATCCTTTTGTAGCTGAAGGATGTCCTTTCCGTAAACAAAGTGGTAAAGTTTTTTCTCAATCATTTGTTGCGGCGTATAACCAGTAAACTGAAAAACGCTGAAAAGAGAAAAAAAATTCATAAATTGAGCTTTGGTTTAGGCTAAAATAGTTTTGGCTGTTAGCTGAAACATTCTAATTTAAATGTATAATATATTTAAAAATTTCCATTTAATTCAGAAGGCAAATTTTAACATAAAATATCCTAAAAAATTATAATCTCTGTTATTAAATACTAAAGAATCTCTATGGTTTGTATGTATGTATGCATGTTTCTCTCATTGTGGAAAAACGAAAATTTAACCATAAAACTCACCAATTTTCTTTAAAAATGTGTTGTTACTGCCGATTAATAAATTAAATTATTTAAAACCAACATGCAGTTACTACCTGGGTTCATCAAAATCATTAAAATTTTTTTGTATCTTTGATAATAACTATTGCACGTAACTGATTGCACAAGGAATTAATATAATAAATTATATAATAATCACTGTTGGATTTATGATGATAAGATTACAGATATAATGTGATTATGAACTCATAATAAAAATTAAATTTCCGGTAGCAATTATTCAATCCAACTGATATTATTTACAAAACCGATGACTTTCACTCACGACCTAAAGTGGGAAATTCACAACGATCACAGGGGCCCGAAGACAAATATACATACTCTCAATGATGTTTCCTTTCTCCGAACATTCTGTAGCTTATGTAACGTTTAGATTTGCACTAAACTTTGGAGGTGGAATAATTAAGGCACAGTAAAAAAATTTACAGAAACATGAGTAAACAAAATGTAACAAAAAGAAAAAAGAAAACCTGAAAAGATTCAGATTTTAAAGGTCGGCAAAATAGGTTTGTTAAGGTTTTCTTACGCTCTCGCTGAGCTTCTAGTCTACAAGTTTTCTGTTGCACTCACTCCTGCTAACCCATTCCTTTTTGTCTTTTTAGCTTTATCATTAAGGATAATTTTCTTTGCAATTACGCCGTATACAATTCAACAGCAAAATTGCAAAAATTTTCAAAACAGCAGGTATTTAAAATTCCCGGTGAAATGTGAAGTGCTGGCATACATTTTTTCTATTTTTTTTTTTTTTTTTTCAGTCTCTTCTCAGTTCATCGTATCAATGCTTAGTTTTCTTAGTAAGATGAATTACAACTCTTTTTGTCTCTTTTTATTATTAACGTTTTGCATTTTAACTTATTTATTAAATATTACTTTCGTTATACTTATGCAACTTAAAATTTAGTTCAACAGTAAAGTCACAAAAAAAAGCGTATCTAATTTTTTTTTTTTTTTTTTTTTTTTTTTTTCCGTACAGTGTTGCCACTGCTCGCTTTGAAATTGGTGAGTTTGTTAATCAAAATTTCCTTTAAAGTTTTACAAAATATGAAATAAATAATAAAACAATTTCGAAATCCAAAATTCGGGTTTTCAGGTGCCTATGTTCGGTGGAGAACTACTTTATTCAAAATTTGATGACTCTAAGTACCGTTGTTTATTCATAATGGGAGAAACATGCAGATTCTTCATTATTTAATTTCTTTAAATGTAATGAATCTCGGGCCCCATCTGTAAAACACTGAAAATGCTGACGAAAGATGAACAAATGTAGAGCGAAGATAAACAAATATGCATACGGAGTAGTACAATTTAACTCGTTACTATGTATCCTATTATCACGCCTTCAAGAAACTGATCAATCGATAAAACAGAAAGTTTTGGACTCTTCTCTCTTTGTTTTCACACCTACGCGTCCCCGTTAATATTTCCTTCCCTATCTCATACTGTTAGTAGCATTAAGTCTATTCTTAACGAAGACGCGTTCATGGTTTTATCTTTTTTCCATCGATGAGCTGGAGAAAGAATAGTGTTTGTTTCAATCATCCCTTGAAATATTATATTGTTATACTGCATATTAAAGATTTATGTCATAAGTCACTTTCTTAATTAACTAACTGTATATTCAAAGTTTAAATTCTACTGGAGCCCAACTGAGCTATTTCTTAGTTTTTGAGTGAAACCTAAGCCCCGATATAAGAAGAAGTCCGGTACTTTGTTTCATTATAAAAACTACTTATCGTTAATTTAAATTTTCATTAAATTTGTATTAATTTTAACATTTTACGGAAATTTAATTTATTTTAATCAATTATTTGTATTTATTAATAATATAATAATTAATTATTTGTATAATAATAATTATAATAATTAATATAATAATTAATTATTTGATTCTCCCCTTCTTTTCTGATGGCCTATTATAGCATCCGAACTCCTAATTTTAGAAATTAAACCCTGGGCAAGTGTGTAGAAAAGGTGAAGAACAGTTGAAAGTTAAATCTTTTATAAAATCCTGAATAATTGGACTAAAATGAAATAGAAAATTGTGAGACAATGTATATATTTTTTCAAAAGAAATGAATTCATAAATCGCTAGGATTTCCAGTCTTGGTAGTACTTTAAATATTCTTCTCATATGTTTTCAGGATGCTTCGTAACAAATAAGTAAAGAATTAAAATTATTCCCATACTAACTAGCTTACGGGTAGTATGGTATACTAACTAAAAGATGCTACTCGTGAGCTAAGTCAGTATGAGAATGAGCTGAAATGACTCCTACACTAATACGTGTGACGTAGTGTCTCACATAACGAAAGCCATCTCGTAACGGATTACTGCCGTTATGCGAACACCGCTTAATATCACATTTACACTTAATACGACAATGTTTACTTATCTTCTTTCATTTGTTGATTAGACACTTTTAAAAGGCTCAGATAAATGGATCACAAAGAAGCCGGAAAAAGCAAATGGTTGAAAAGGGCAAAATTGTACTTTAGAGCTATGTCAAAAATTTGCAAGCATTAGAGAATTTTTAAAGAGAAATGGTCTCTTGAAAAGCCAGAAAAATCTTATTTTAAGAAGGAAGGGATTACGGAATGGAATCCCAAAGTAAAGAATAAGGACAAACATTTAAATTTATTTCTTTGGGAGAAATATCAAAATAAAATGGTATTAAATTGTATGATTTATAATTTGGGAGAAATTGTACGCTTTTTTGTTTACCAATCTATTTCCTTATAATTTTAACTGCTTCTTTCTTCGGCTCCCACCAGGATGCAAATTAGTTAACGCATATAAAAACAGAGTTCTTGAGGTTAAGAAAAAACATTTGCCAGTTACTTCTGTACGCTGTTCTCGTGAATTCCAGAGGAATCAAAGCTTCTAGTACTTTTCCGAGTGAACAGGAACGGTTGAGGCTGGTCTAACAGGCGCGAGAACTCGGGAAAAGGTGACAACATTTTTTCCCAAGTTACAGATCGTTTGAAGAAGCGGGGGATTCACATCATAACGGCTAAATGGTGCCGGCCCCATTATGAAGTTCAGTGTTATGAGGAAAGCAGCCCTCATCAAGAAGTCTCAGACTCCTACGTGAATGTCTTAATCTTGGAGAGCAGTCGCCAGCTTGTACAAAGGTGTGGGCACTTCAAACCGCAAAGGTGCCTTGACAACAAGTCACAAATATGCCACCCAGTATCATTTGTGAAGTTCGGTATCATGAGAAAGCAACCATCATCAAAGCTGCCGGGGCGTCCATGTGAAGGTGTTAATCTTGAAGAATAATTGTCTACTTGCATCAAGATGCCGGCACCTTTCCAACATTTTATGAAAACATCCGATTGGCTCGTAATCAAAACTCCTCTTATAAAATAAAGTAAAGAATTAGAGCCAACAAGTATGAACTTGCGATGAGCCAACTACGACGGTATTAAGACGTTGTGTTTAATATAGTAAACATTGGCTTATCTTCCGATTTTTTTAGAATGTCATTATTTTTTCCCGTATGAGTATATCATTTTTTTTCCATCGTGAATTATGATCAATCTCCCATCTTTTTTTAAAACAATGATATCAGGTAACAAAGTAGCTCCACATGTACCGACGCATCAGGAAATTTCTGGAATTCTCAATAGCTCCATCCGCTCCTGCATATGAATTTGCATCTTATTTGCTTAATGTACCTTGTATTCTCTTAAATAAGAATTTAATTGCATGAACCGTGCAAATTCATAAACTGAAGCTGTAATAAAAGCTTTTATTTTAAAGTTTATTCTGACTTCAGTCTTATTTCGCTGGAAGTCTAAGACCAGGCGTAAGTCTACCGACTTCTACACGGAGCTGCAATTTACCATTAAAGTAATTTGGTTTTAATTCTTTTAGTGCATGTACCTACCTAACAAAGAATTTAAAAAAAAAAAAAAAAAAACTTTCCATTCACTTTACCATATTGTTATTTGATGGTGATGAAGAGGAAGAAGGATGTGACACCTAAAACTATCATAGGTTTAAAAATGATGTAAAACTAAACGTTAAATCTTAACCACCAAATTTTAGGTTTTGCGCGAGTTAAAACCGTATATGAGAAAAGCGAATAGTTTTCGAAACTGACCTCTAATGAATATACTTGCGCAATGCCCTCTTCTGTCACATCTTATCAGAAGTCATGCTCAGTTCAAACGACTGGAGTTATAAGATTATTAAGATCTAAAGAAAAATTTACATCGAGCAGAAAGCTGTGTCGCTAAAGCAAAAACAAGTAAACTGAAAACCAGGTTTTAATTTCTAAAATTATAACTGATGGAGCCCTCTGGAAGACTGTCAACAAAGAGGAACAAAATTAAATAAAAATATAAAATAACTATTAAAATCATTAATATTTTTTAATTAAATAGTTAATTATTAAGAAACTAATTATTTAATTATTATTAATAATTAATATTTGCCAGTTATTATTTAGTTAATGGTTATTATTTAATTAAGTAAAATTAATTTTTATTATTAAGATAGTTAAATAATTAAAGATCAACGTAATTAAATAATTAAAATTAAATAAAATGTAAAGAGATAAATAAAAATTTAATAAGCGATTTGTAATATAATTTTATTGCAAAAAAATAAAATTTTCGAGATCAAATTTCTACTGAAATTGTTATTCAGTTACATAAAAGAAGCGCCGGAGCCTTCTGATTGAGGGCTCCGGTGCGCTCCGACTAGAATTATGATTTATTCTAAAAACTAAAAAGTACAGGCACAATTTAAGCTCTGCAGAAAACTACATTTGAATCTGCACTTTTAATCATATTCTTTATTAATCTTCTAATCTCAAGAAATTTTGTAATTCACTTATTATATTTTCGTAAATGAATTGAACTCTATTGCTTTTCTTCTCTTTACTGAATCTTCATCATACAGATTACGTGATACATAAGCATAATACGCTGCATTTTAGCCAGGTAAGTAGCTGTTTGTGGAAATTTAAAACTTAATGTCATTATTTTTAAATAAAAGTGAATTTTGGATTGCAAGAAATTTGGATTCTTGAATTTTGGAATTTAAGAATTTTTATTTAAAATGTATTGTAGATTTTGATTTTGGACTCTATAAACTTATTGAACGCATTCGTCATAGTATTTTTCTCAATATTGTTCTGAAGCAGTCTTTTAGGAACATAACTCATATTAGACGATGGTTGGAAATAGCCGCTTCTCTGTGTGCTTGGCTGATATTTGAAGTAACATTTCCATATCAGGAGCCCTGGGAATGAAATGATGACATTACGATTTGTGCTACAAAAAAAAAAAAAAAATAAAATAAAATAAATAAATAAATAAAATAAATAAACTGTATTATGGAATGGTAATACGATTTAGTACATGTAGAATGACAACTCTTGCAAGATGCCGTATACATATTGTAAGATTATGAATAATTTTTGCTTCTGCAATTTATTATTAAAAATAGAATTTCACAATCATTTCATCAATTTATAGTTTATCTTTTCTCCTAATCAATATTGTTATAAATTCTATCTTCAATTATATATTTTATATAAAAGTTATATTCAGAAATGAAAGGAACTGATATTAAACCTGGAGTCTAGGTAAAGGAGAGTGAAATCAAGACTTGCTCTAGACATGAAAAAATCTGTAGACATTCTTATTTCAGTGATATTGTGAGGTGGCAAAGAGTGACCGATCGCAACCAATCCAACCACCTGCGGCTTATAAATTGCTGTACTGTCAACATCGGCATCCTGCAGCTGTACGGATCTCAGTTTCAAATAGCCACTGAAATGTATAATCTGAAACAGAAAACAAGTTTTAAGAACTTTTCCTTTTCTTAAAGTAAGAAGGACAGAAAAATGAATACAAATTTAATCTTTTTTAAAAAAATATTTATAAATATGTAAAACAGAAAATATGTAAATATAAACTGAAATTTAAACTAGCAATAGCTCTTTAATGCTTAATTTTAGTTTGGGTTTTTCTACTCTCTACTCTAAAAATATTTTTCTTTGAACTTTTTCTGAACTGCGTCATTTAGAGACTAATCATATCATGTGACTTTTACATTACGCTGGATGTAAATGGAATTAAAACTCAAACAGATAATAATAATGTTACAGCATTTATTAGTTATCGAATCAAATGCATTGAAACCGAAATTAACCCATTCTGAATTAAGCTTCATCCTGAACACTACGCACTTGCTTTCTGCATCTTGGCCTAGATAGACTACTGCTTGCTGCTTCTATTCTTAACGCAAAGTTATTATAAATGTAAAATGTTTTAATATGCACAAATAGACTGTCAAGTGAATTGTGGCTGCAAATGTCCATTGAAATAAAAATGAATATTAAATCTGCCTCAGCTACGAAGCTTGTTCTTCATTATGGATCGAAATTTCGGTATCATTCTGCAAATCCTGATACTGGTACTGATTATGAGCTTGCTTATGTGGTCCCAAAAGATGCCTTAATAAGCTATATAAGATAATTAAGTCACTGAAGGCATATAACTCATCAGGTGAGACTCCAGGAACGGTAAAGAAAGAGAGGTAAAAGTGGGGAGACCATTGTCTCCTTTACTCCATATGTGCCAATCTGATGGAAAGTAACGAGAGACAAAAGTCACGCCGCGCAAGATAGCAAGCAAACGTTGGTGTCAAAACTAGGTTACGAAGCTGTGACCACAAAGCATGTAGTAACTGAAAATTCTCATGAAAAATTAATGTAATATATATTTATAAAATACTTTTATAGCCCTGGGTTGTTGCAAATGAAATAGCCGATTTTCAAGATGATTGAAAAAGAAGGGTATAAAAAGTAGAAAGTTATGTGGTTTGTCAAAGTAGTCTCTAGCAACATCAATGTTTTGGTGCCAACATATGACAAAGTCATTACAGTACGTTTGTAAAAATTAGTGTCTCTGGAAATACTGGAGTCCTCCACCGCCCGAGCAACTGATTCGAAGTTAGCAAAATATTTCTTGGACAAAAAAATTGAAAAATATCTAGGTATATGTCAGGAGAGTATGACGGATGAAGGATAACTTCGTATAACGAATTAGTGAACTACTGTATGATACTAATTGTTTAGGGGGACTCTACAATTTGAATAAATTTTTTCTATTTATTGAAGAACTTTCTTCTATTTTTTATAAATATTACGAAATTGATTCGTAAGACAAAAGATTTTAAGCTAAAAAAATGTTTTTGAAAGTAATTTTTTTAATTTAAATTTTTCTTCGATAAATTTAATAGTTAAAATGTCTTTTTCTCTCATTAAATTTTCAAAGCTTCTATTCAGTAAGGACGTTTTAAAAAAATCTTACCATCTTGATCGAACAACCAACTTTATTAGTCAATCTCACAGAATAACTGAAAACCAATTTAAGCGCATGCATAGCAGATAAATATCTAGTAAAATAAAAAGTTAGTTAATGAGTTACCTCTCACGTAAAATATCCGTGCAAATATCCGTACAGCTATTTTACGAACGAGGTTTCCTTACATTACGCAAAGATGTTACAGTCCTTAATTCTTTCCCTCACGGGGAACATTTCTAAGAGAAATTTTCGTTTCAATTCTATGGAACTTTCACGACAAATTTTCAGTTTAAATACATTAAATTTGTTTACAAAACAAAAATGTTCAAGCATACCTGTAACAAATACAATTAGATACCAGACCAAATTAATACAAGTGCTTTTCAACAAGCATTTTAAATAAATATATAAAATTTAATATTCTGATATTAGAAAAATTTAAACAATGAAGTTTTAAACTTCCTAGAATATATATTTTTAATTGTGAGATGTCTGGATACAAAGATTTAAACTGTCAACATCTTGACGGTACTTCCCTTTTCTATGAGGAACTTCAGAATTAAAAGGATGTAAGATCAAAGCCCATCTTAATAGGCTAGGATTAGTCCCAGCTTTTTCTTCTCACCCTACTAAAGGATTATGATCAGTCTGAATGATGAACTTAATGAGGTCGATCTAGGTAAACTTTTAACCTTAAAATTCTACCTAGATCGACCTACTGTAAAGACAATAGCAGCACACTTCCTTTCGATTGTACTGCTGTTTAATAGATGAAAATTTTGCTAAGAAATATCATAGGATATTCTTCACCTTTAGCATTTATCTGTGATAATACAGCGCCAATACTAATACTCGAAGCGTCGCGCTAAACGATAAATGGCTGAGAAAAGTTCGGACTGTATAAGTCTGGATTTTCTGTTAAACGTTTCATGAGTTCAATCAAAAGAGTTTTAGTACTCCATCAGTCCAATTTATGGTTTATTTGCCCTATTTTCCTTTTAACAAATCTGTGAGTGGCGCAGAAAGCACACAAAATTCAGAAATATACCTTCGATAATATTCTGCAAGTCCTAAAAATGACCATACCTGTGTTTTCGTGGTAGGTTTAGGAAAGTCCTTTATGGCTTGGATTTTTAGTTCTCCTGGTATTCTTTGACCTACTCCTACTACATTACCTAGATATTTGACTTCGAATGAGAAAACTGACATTTCGAAGGCTTAATATTCAAACTAGCAATTATCATCTTCTCAACTAGCAATTATCATAATTTCTAGGTGCTTCAAGTGTTCTTCCCACATCTTTGAGAATACTGCGATATCGTCAATATAGGGTGCAGCAAATTCTTCACAGTTTCTTAATAAATCTGCCAAAAAACGGCTAATATCATATGTTGCATTTTTCAGAACGGTAACCTTAAGTATTCAAATGTGCCAAAACTTGTAACAAAGGCAGCATAACGCTGGGCTGTTTAGGATCTGCCAGAAAGCAAGCTTGCTGTTTAGCAAGGGAAAATATTGTGTCCTAGTTATCTTGTTCAAGCGAAGACAATCGATGCATGGTCTTGCCTCTGTTCCAGGAACTTCAACAAGTATGAGTAGAGAGGTAAAATCTGCTTCATCTGGTTCTATTATTTTGAGTAATATCATCTTTACTATATCCGTTTTTAAAATCTCGGTTTGTCTGGCAGACATCCAAAAAGGTTCTGCGCATTTCGGTCTATCTGCTTCAATATCATATTCAGTAAGGTCAGTACATCCGGGTTAATTAGAGATAATACAGAAATACTTTTATATCAACTGCTATGAATCTTTTCGTTGATTTTCAGATAATCGTGAATTCAACTGGATGCCTTGCAAATTTCAGACATTTCAGTATCTGAGCTATAATTTAGACTCTGTATTTCGTCTTTATAGTCGTTTATCCTGTCTTCTAAACATAACAAATTAATATTTTCTGCTTGTTTAAAATAGTTTCAGCATATTAATGACGTACACATGAGTTTTATTTTTCTCGGGAAACTCGCGACTACATAATTTGTCTTTGATAATTGTTGTAGCTTCGAAGGAGCCAGAATTAGAACTAAGTCTCCTTGAAATTTACGTTCTATGGTTTTGCGATCATACCAGAGTTTTTACCTTTCTTTGGCTTTTCCATACGCTGTACAGAGGGTTCTTGATATCTGCTCATTCGATTCATTAGATAAAAAGCATAGTCCACTACACTATTTCCTACCTCTTCTTTACCAGATAATTTTTCATACAATAGCATAGTTGAAATTCTTAAGTTATTCTGCTGGCGAGAAACCTGTACTGTCATGAATAGTTGTTCGAAGAGCAAATAAGCCTGAGGTAAGATTTAATCCCAGTCCGAACCAGATTCTATACATAGGACTCGAAGAATTCTTTTTTAACTTCTACGCATCCTCTCTACAGGATTGCTTTGTGGGTGGTAAACTGAACTTCGTACAACTTTAATCGTGAATTGTTCCAGGAAATTCGATGTCACCGCACTCATAAAAGATGTGGCTTGGTCGGTCTGCATCTCTTTTGGGAACCCCATTCGACTAAACATTGGAAGGAAAACATTAAGAATCGTGGTTGAACAAAGATTTGCGAAAGGAACTGCATTCGAATATTTTGACGACATGATAATTGTAGTTATAAGCTACTTATTTCCTTTAGGTGTCACGGTCAGAGGCCCACAAGTGTCAACTTTTATTTTTGAAAATATTTCTGAGATAACAGAGATAGTTTTCAAAGGCACTTTCTTTTTATCTTGCAGCTTTCCAGTTCTTTGACATTTGTCACAAGTTTTAACAAAATTCTCGACATCTTTGTAACAATTTTACAAATAAAAAGTTTTGAATAATGCAACTTTGGTCTTTGTTGCACAAGATGGGCTGCTGTTTTCTTCATGATAAATAGTCATCAAATGTTTCCGATATATCTCAGGAACAACAATCAATAGTCTTTACGTTCCATCAATGATCTTTTTTGAAAAAGAACATTTGGCCTTTCAACATACACTGTTAAAAATTCCTTTCCAGGTTTCACCAAAAGATGGTAAAACGCTGAACCATTATTTAGCGCTTAGATTGAACCATTATATGGCAATATGTTGAACCATGAATTGGCAATATATTGGACCATAATTTGGGGGTATTTTGAACAATAAACTGGGAATACGTTAAATATGAATTGGGATTATATTACAGCATTGGGAATATCTTAAATCATTAATTATAATTATGTTTGGATGGAAATACCTTAAATCATTAATTATATTTATATTTACCATTAAATGAACCTATTCTGAGCTTTTAACAATAGAGTATATAGTAAGTCATTTGGGATCTTAGGCATAAAATTTTATATTAGCCATCTTCTATGGCTTCTTTTCTGATACTTTTTTATTCAATTACTGCTATGGCTCCTCCTTTATTCCTATGGATAAGCAGTTTGCAAATTGTTTATA